CTGAAATGTATACAATTGTTAGTCCAATGTCCATAAATATTATGAAATTTGCAATATTTTCGACCATTCCTTTGTTCTGCCGAGGGCAGTTTATGGTCATCACTCAACTTAATTTGTTTGTCTTTTAATAAAATATCAAAGATTTTATCTGCCTTTGTCACATCGAAAGTATATGTTCGATTTTCCATTTTATCTTTTACTTCATTCTTTTGTAGCAATTTACAGATATATGGAGCCCCTACTTTGAGCTCTGCTATATTTACTTTCTCATCGACAGTTTCTTCAATATCATTTTCTGTCATGGGATCGGTCTCATACACATCATTTATATATGCTACTCTTTCTTTTTTCAAGGGTTTCTCATATTTCTTATACCTTTGTTTTTCGTACTCAATTTGCTCCACTCTTCTCACTTTATCAGCTAATTGAGCCATGTCATTCAATGGTAAATTGACTAACTTTTTCCTAATCGAGAATTCTAAGCCTGCAGAGGCCATTCTGACTAATTCATATTCAGGAATTTGAGTGAAACATCTCGACTTCATTTGTCTAAATCGATTCAAATAATCATCTATGCTTTCATGATTGTATCTTTTTATATTCATCAAATCGATGAGACTTACTTGAGTTTCTCCTCTAAAGAATTGCTCATGAAAATTTCTTTCCAGTTGCAGCCAATTATATATCGAATTGGGTGGCAACGAAGTAAACCAAGTAAAAGCATTCTTAGTCAAAGAACTAGGGAAATATTTCAACTTTAATTCCTCACTCATCGCTAGGTCCACACATTCGATCTGATATCGAGCTACATGCTCGATAGTTGATTCACCAACTTCTCCAGCAAATTTGGTGAATTTAGGTACTTTGTATCCTCGAGGTAATTCTGTCTCGAGAATCGCATTTGGAAAGGGAGACACAAAGTATGTTTGATTGGGTGGTCTAAATTCCATCCCTTGGAAATTCATCCTCTGTCCTAACATGTGATTATACTGCATGTTATTCTGATTGTGCATATTTTGAAATCCCTCATTCAGATTCCCATAAATATCATTCCTCAACTGTTGGTATTCATTTCCCGTGTGCTGATGTTGATCATTGTTTCGATTTCTCCTCAATAGATACAGGGGATTGATATTAGCATTCTGGTTAGCATGATTTTCTACCCTTGTTCGTCGAGGTAGAACCAATGCATCCCCGATTCGTGACATTTGGTCTGCTAATATCTCAAAACTAACAGTAGTGTTTTGAACTAATGGATTTAGGACTGTAGTCAACTGTTGTGATAACATATTCACCATCTCAAAATTGCTCTCATCCATTTGTTGTCTAAGTACTGCTAATGAGTTACTGGATATCCCAGTACCAGTGTTTTCAATAGTCTCAAAGTTGGATCGATGATAATCTCTATCGAATGTATATCTCCCATGATCCAGATTTCCTCTATGATCTAGATTTGGAGGTGTTTGTTGTGTGCCTAAATTCTGTCCACTTCCTGAATTCTGGGGGATTGCTAAGTTTTGGGATGTCCCTAAATTCGGAGGGACTCCAAAATTTTGCGGCATACCTAGTGTTTGAGGCATTCCTAAGTTATATCTCGAATTCTGCTGTGTTGAAGAAGTTCCAACCCCACTCATATTGTTAAGCGAAAACCCGGGCGGTCTTACACTCATATATGGCCCTACATATGTTGTTACGGGGTTTTCCATAGTTTGCATATTATTTGGTACCACCGCACTAGATCCTACTTGGGTGTTTGCTAAGGTGCCTGAATTTTGCTCATTACCCACAGGTATCGACATACTTGCAGTTGTCGATGCTACAGGCATATTCCCATTATGACTTTGCCCCCCAGTATTTGGTGAATGTACACCATTTAGACCCTCACTGTTACTCTGGTTATTTGACGAATTTTGACTCATTCTTATAACTCGCCTACTCCTTAATCTCATACACTCTCGAACTAACCAAATTTGTGTTTTTAACACAAGACTACGTCCCTACCTGGTGCGCCAATTTGTTTCTGGTGGAATTTCGATCGATTCCGATTCTTAAGAGGTTTTGACTCTAATCAAAATTCAACCACGTAAGTTCTTTTTTACTTAGGCTAGCAAATTGATTTTCAATCGAAATGCATATGAGAATCGAAATTTACATAGTATCGAAAATGCTGTTTTTGGTATTTTATGTTTAGAGTGTTCAACGTAAACAAAGCACTAAAAGCGTTGAATTAAAAAGCAAAAACAGAAATTGAATTGCTTAGAAGTAAAATTGCAGAAACCTCAAATTTGCATTAAATGACAAGAAATCGAAGTAGTGAGAATGTAAATAGCAGGCAATCGAAATACGCAGAAAAGTAAATAACTAGAAATCAAATTTGCATTGAAATTAAAGGACCAGAAATTTAAATGCAGAAAACTTAACTTCTATTAAACTGAAATCGACCAGGAATCGAAAACACAGAAATTTAAAATTGCTAAAATATAAACTGCATCAAAGTAAATTACCAAGGAAAATAAAGAAAGCGGTAAAGGTACTCAATGAGCATGGAAATCCAGATCGCCAGAAACTTCATGATGTTCGTCGTTCTCCGGTAGACTTCTCACTAGTATTTCTGTTCTCTGCCAATTTTCCCCCTCTCCCCTCTCATCTTTCGCTCTATTTATAGAGTGTCTTTTCAAGTAGTTTCTTAAGAACAGTTAATGAAAACTGCTACCACGTTCTCTGTGCACATCTTTTTGCAGTTTTGCTCCTAGCTTTATGGTTTAGAAACTGCATCCACGTTCCCATGCATGAGGTAATTGCTCCCTTGACCTTCGGCCTTCGCCAACGCTTACTATGTTCGATGTATATGTCAACTGTTCTTTTTAGCCAGAATTTCGATATTCGCGTATGTTAGCCTTCCCTTCGATTTAGATTTCGAGACTTCGAGAGTTTTGGATTGCTTTTGATTCTCGGTATCCTTAACGTTACATGATTTTGATTTCTTGATTTTCTTCACCAATGGACGTTAAGCGTTATTCCCTCGATTCTCGATTTCAATACTCGATGTGTTTTTATCTTTGTAGTCACCAAGTATCTTGTCTATTTTATCGATTTTTCAATCAATTGTATAGTTCTCGATTTTTGTTTCCCTTCATTTTTTCGATCCTTTTATTGATCTCTTACTAACAATATCCGTGCAAAGTTATGTGTTGTATTTCCCATCCACACAAAGTCCATGAACAATACTTCTCTCTCCGTTGAAAGCAAATGAAATGCTTCTTTGATTTTATCATATAATATTGATTCCGTTTGTCAATACTTAAAAAAAATGTTTTTTTTACAAGTTATTTATTTCAAATTGATTTTTATAAATTTTTTGGAAACAAATTTATTCTCTTTGACTACATCTGCTTCTTTTATATAAGAAAAATATTCTTTCCCCTCTGTTTTTTTTTTACAAAAGTTTACCCTATTGAAAATCGTGGTAATTAATTATTCAATTAAAAAAACAATTATTCTATATTGATTATATTTAAAAGAGACCAATTACGAAGTCTCGTATATTGATTATTATGCTTAGATTCAACACATTGGTAGACGTCTGGAATTAATTGTCCAAGATTTTTTATTATATAAATGAGTTTTGTAAAAGTAATTTCCGAAACATTAGAAAAATATGACCGAAAGTTTCTCATAAAAGGGTATTCTTTGAAAAATAAAGACTACAAATATAAAAAAAAAAAAAAGTATATTAGCAGTTTTGGAGGTGCATTAAATAATTATTGGATTTGTTTTTGGATGGGCCGTTCTAATGAATTCGCTAACTGCAAAATGGGCCGAAAAGAAAAGGAAGAACAAACTCAATAAAGAATCATATTTTTTTAATTTATTCATAAGAAGGGAGTTTAAAGTTAAAAAAAAATCTTATAAAAACACTTCTTACTTACCAACAAAAACTTTTTACTATTATCAGTTTAAATTCATGTTCTTTTGAAATGTAACTATGATTTATTGGTAGTAGCATCCAGGAGGCCCACATTTATCTTATTTTTAAAAAAAATGAAAAATGTGTATTCTGTTTTACAAACACTTTTTTTTTGTCATAATCTTTAAATACATTTTATTTCTATAAAGTGTAATTATAATTCGAACACAATACAAATAATATAAAAGAAAAAGTAGTTGTTTTGAATAAGAGTGTGCATTTACGCGTTACTCGGAATGCAGTGGGGTTTAGGCGTAGGTTATCCGTTATTTTGAGGGTTAAATACTGCGGAATGTTTGTCTGATTCAATTTATTTAAAGGCACGATTATTTTATTGATGTCTTTTGAAAACAACAAAAACTATTCCCCAAAATTTAAAAAGATTTGAAATGTGAAGTGAAAGGGAGGAGCCTCCTATGTTGCAGGCTGCACATTTTAATATCATTACTACTTCAAAATGGCATTCAAATTCAATGAGTCTAATAATGCTAACCTTAATATTTGTTTTAGTTAAAAATTTAAAATGAGTATATTTTTAAACTCATTAACCACTGCACATTGAAATGTTGGATCCAAAATTGGAAGAGTTATTGACAGCTGGGTTGGCTACAGGCCATCAATTCTTACCGTCCCACATCACTAAATTTTAATGTGTAATTACTTTTTTAAAATTTATTAAATTAATCATAACATATTTTAAGATACAGCGCAACGGAAAGAGAAAGGTGATACAAATGGGGTGAGATCGAAACGGTTACAGAACAGTGTCGTTTGGTTTGGTTCGGTTCCTTATCACAATTCACAGCTCAGCACAGCGCAGCAAGCACCAAAAATATCATTTTAAAAAAATTCCTTCTATTCCGAAAACGCCCTCAGCACATCACACAATTACAAAACAAACCTACGCTTCAAATTCTCCCCACCGTTCATTTACCTCTCTCATTCGTTTCCATTTCCTTCAGACCCAATCCCCAACCGCCTCGAACCCTAATTCCCTTTCTCTCACACTCGCTCACACACTCTCCGATCCAAAATGAGAGAAATCTTGCACATCCAGGGAGGGCAATGCGGGAACCAGATCGGAGCCAAGTTCTGGGAGGTCATTTGTGACGAACACGGTATCGACCACACTGGAAAGTACAGCGGCGACTCCGAGCTCCAACTCGAACGCATCAACGTCTACTACAATGAAGCCAGCGGCGGAAGGTACGTTCCTCGTGCCGTCCTCATGGATCTCGAACCCGGCACCATGGACTCCGTCAGATCCGGCCCCTACGGCCAGATCTTCCGCCCTGACAACTTCGTCTTCGGCCAATCCGGCGCCGGCAACAACTGGGCCAAAGGTCACTACACTGAAGGTGCCGAACTCATCGACTCCGTCCTCGACGTCGTTCGCAAAGAAGCTGAAAATTGCGATTGCTTGCAAGGTACCACCACCGCTCTCAATTTCCTAATTACTCACCAATTTTGATTGATTTGATCGTGTTTTGATGAAATTGGATTTCTGGTAACGTGGCAGGGTTTCAGGTGTGCCATTCTCTTGGGGGTGGAACCGGTTCTGGCATGGGGACGCTTCTGATCTCGAAGATTCGTGAAGAGTATCCGGATCGGATGATGTTGACGTTTTCGGTGTTTCCTTCTCCCAAGGTTTCTGACACGGTTGTGGAGCCTTACAATGCTACCCTCTCTGTTCACCAGCTTGTTGAGAACGCTGATGAGTGTATGGTTCTGGACAATGAGGCTCTCTACGACATCTGTTTCAGGACCCTCAAGCTCGCTACGCCCACCTGTAAGTTTCTGATTTCTCTTTTTTAATCGCTGTTTATTTTGTTGTGTTTTCTGTTTGTTCTTGTTTACTGCAGATAAATTGCTCAATTGTTTTGTAATTGTTTACTGTAATTATCCGTTTTTTTCTTTCAATTTCACGATTTAAATTAGGATTAAGGCTCTGCGTGGATAATTTGCTACATAAACACTTGTAGGAGAAGGAAATAAGAAAACAAAGTAATAGTTTTCGAAATGTTAAGTGAGAATTTATGCCAATTAACTTATCTATAAGCTAATTTTATCTTGTGGGAGAAGTTGATTTCATTTGATCTTATTTTTGTTTTTGTGTAAGTTTTGTGGAGAAGTTTATTCTAATAAGGATGAAATGTCGTTGTGTGGGTGGGGCCATGGGGGTTTCAAGTGGGTTAGGTCTTGTGTCTTGCTCGTTGCTGGTGGGCGTTGTTCAACTTCTGCTATCATTTTGGTTTTCAGTCGCTTTCTCTACTTGAATATGGTCATTTTATTTGAGATTTTTATGGAATTGCTTTTGAACGAATTGATGTTAATAAAACTGTTGTGTTTGGAGATGATGTTTTAAAATGAAGTTTAGAATAATTGATTTTATTTGGATGATACAATAAAAACAATTTGAAGGCTATATTTTGTGTTTCTTTCACCTGAATCAAATTTACCTACTAGAACATCCTAATTTTTGTAGTTCTTACTCAATTGTACATTTCTGCTCATTGCTGGATTGATTTTAGTAACCAAACCTTGCCCAGACAACTGTTGGTTTGTGAATAAATTCTTCGGGGCCTTGAAGCAAACAGGACATTAGTTGGAATTTCAATTTTGCTAATTAATTTTTTTGTTTTGATTACAGTTGGTGACCTTAACCACCTGATTTCTGCCACCATGAGTGGAGTTACTTGCTGTCTACGTTTCCCTGGGCAACTGAACTCTGATCTTCGCAAGCTTGCTGTTAATCTTATCCCATTCCCCCGGCTCCATTTCTTTATGGTTGGCTTTGCACCCTTGACATCTAGGGGATCCCAGCAGTACCGTGCTTTGACTGTTCCTGAATTAACACAGCAAATGTGGGATGCTAAGAACATGATGTGTGCTGCTGATCCTCGTCATGGTCGTTATTTGACTGCATCAGCAATGTTCCGTGGTAAGATGAGCACAAAGGAGGTGGATGAGCAAATGATTAATGTGCAAAACAAGAACTCTTCATATTTCGTTGAGTGGATACCTAATAATGTGAAGTCCAGCGTGTGTGATATCCCGCCCAAGGGTCTTAAAATGGCATCCACTTTCATTGGTAATTCGACTTCAATCCAGGAGATGTTCAGGAGAGTTAGTGAGCAGTTCACGGCTATGTTCAGGCGCAAGGCTTTCTTGCATTGGTACACTGGCGAAGGAATGGACGAAATGGAGTTCACTGAGGCTGAGAGTAACATGAATGATCTTGTTGCTGAGTATCAGCAATACCAGGATGCTACTGCTGATGATGAAGAGTACGAAGAAGAGGAAGATGAGGAGATTCCAGCTTAAGGCACTTCCTTCATCTGTCAAAATTGTTTCAAATATCAATGTGATTGGCTTTGAACGAGTGGTGTAAGTTTTAATTGTGATGCAGTCAAATTAGATTGACTCGTTTATGTGTATGCTTATTATTGATTGTTGACATTGTATAAACTGGGTTTTGTTGACAATGCTTCTGTTCTTGAGAGATCAAGTCTTGCATGTTTGTAATAGTTAATGACATGTTTTCGTTTTTGATATCTTGATTATAGTAAGTTGTCTATGAACTAAACAGTAATGTTCTTAGGTATTTATTGACATGCTGTTCAATACGTGCATGATTTATTCGGTTTGGGCAAGCTTTTACAGATTAATGATTACTAATGAAATTGCCCGAGCATGTTATGACAAGCTACGTTGGATTAATATATTTTGAAAGTAATGTTATATAATTATTAGTAAGGTATTGTTTTTTAAATGAATAAGATGTGAATACAACTGTATGTATTTAGGTGGTACTGGTTAGTATCATTGGTGTTGATATTTGTAATGCAATTTTTAACAAAACTGTGCAAGAAATTAACCCCTTGTTTGGTTGGAGTGATTTGAGAGAGTGGAAATGAGAGAGTGGAAAAGGAGGGATTTGAAGAGAAATGAAGGTAAAGTTAAAGTTGTTTGGATGAATGGAAAGTGTGAGGAAAGTTTATGGGAAATTGTGAATGATTTGATGGATATGAGATATAAAAATTATAATTTTATGTTGATTATTTAAGAAAATTACCATTTTACCCTTTGTATAAAATAAGGTTCAAATGATTATAAATATAATTTTTTAATTAATTATCCATATTTTAACATTGACTATATATTTAAAAGAAAAAACAAATTTACAACTATTTGTAATTGGAAACAAATTTAAAAAATTAACTTTTTTTAAATAGTTATTAAAAATTATATAAATAAACAATTACAAATTATGTACATTGTATATCCATATTCAAATAATTTTGACATATTAATTAAATTATTTGACTAATAATTAAATAATTATAAAATATAAAATAATAATTAATATCGACTGATAATAATAAATAATTATGAAATGAAAGTAAATTATATTTTAAATGATCGACTTTAGATAGCGGTTAACCTGGAATCGCTATCATATGTTCACCTCTGATAGCGGTTCCAGGTTAACCGCTATCTAAAGTCGAGAGTATTTGAAAATCTAATCGATTACTTTGCCAAAATGATCGATCAGATTTTTATATACTCGAGACTTTAGATAGCGGTTAACCCGAACCGCTATCATATGTTCATCTATGATAGCGGTTCAGGTTAACCGCTATCATATGTTCACATTTAAGAGCGGTTAAGATGTTAACCGCTCTTAAAAGTGAACATCCGATAGCGATTAACGTGGAACCGCTATCTAAAGTTTACATTTAAGAATATTACCATTTTACCATTTGTATAAAATAAGGTTGAAATGATTATAAATATAATTTTTTAATTAATTATCCATATTTTAACATTGATTATAATTTAAAAGAAAAAACAAATTTACAAGTATTTGTAATTGGAAACAAATTTAAAAAATTAACTTTTTTAAATAGTTATTAAAAATTATATAAATAAACAATTACAAAATTATGTACATTGCATATCCATATTCAAATAATTTTGACATATTAAATAAATTATTTGACTAATAATTAAATAATTATAAAATATAAAATAATAATTAATATTGATCGATAATAACAAATAATTATGAAAACTAATAATATAATTGTCAATTATTATTTAAAACAAATATAAAATACAGTGAAAATAGAATAATAATTAAATGAAACATTACTCAAATTATAAACCTATACACACTAATACTCTTCAAACAAATAATTGTAATGTTATCCATCTTTTGCGATCAAGTCCTCCAGGTTCGGATCATTCAATCACTTCCACTCAAGAACATGAACAACTCGGGAGACGACGAAGATGTGAGGGCAAGCCAAAAAGTCGTCTAACATGTGATTCGTGAGTACACAAATGATTATAACACTCGAAGCATAAGTTGCTCGTCATTTAGGTTCATGCCGACTAACATGTCCCATATATCTGACTCCGAATGTTGAAATGTTGATGATCGTCTCATCACATTAATTTGCTCATTAATTAAATCATTTCGCGTTCAATGGCGACCACTGTCTTTCGGCTATGTCGGATAATCGTTGGGTCAATGTATTACCTTGCCCGAGGTAATCTGTAAATGTGTCCGACCTCGTTGTTAGTTTGTCAAATTGACCTTCCATCACATCAACCATAGGCGCTTTTCTTTTTGTGCCCCGAGATGAAGAGGTTCCACCCGAACCAGTAGACGCAATGCAGATGGAATTGAGTGAGCACCCTCGCCAGGACTATCGGAACCCATGCGTGGAGGTGATCGGTAATCAGTATCAAATCCCGCATCAAAGCCAAAGTGAAATGGTCTGCTCCTCCGGTGTGGGGTCCACATCAACGTTCAAGTCCACTGTTGCCCTTCGAGAACCGATATTCATTCGGCCTCGACGCGAAGTTCTTGCCATATGTCCACCGGCTCGATCAGCACCCCACAATTCTTCCATCAAATCATAATGTCTTATAGTTGCCGGCTTCCATTTAGTGCTGAAGGCTTCGCCTACAAAATAATGAGAATGGTTAACACTCGTAATTGTTATGTTTTGCTATATGAACAAATGATAATTCATATTATAGTACCTTAATTAGGTCATCCCATACTTCTTCCTCGACCACAAACCGTTTTGTCATATCATCCCAAGCGAATCCACTAAGTCCATGAAATAAATCGTGGACCTCCCGCCATCTATCCTTAAGACTTTTTTGTCGATTTTTAACATTATTTTTAGTTATACCAATTAATCCAGATCGTCTTAGGGATTCAACTATATTATTATATGTTTGGGTTGTCCAACTACCATCAACCCGATTACCCAACCTTGCCTCATCAAGCATAGCAGTCAACAACCGAAAGTCCATGTCATCAGTCCATTTTGTAAACTCGCGCACTACATGTGACGAATTCGGTGCAATATCCTTTCCTCTGTTCATTTTAAACCTATTGGAAAGATAATATATGTAATTACGATACCAACATATAATATATGTTTTTACAGTATTTTAATCGATACAAACTTCTTTTAATCGATTAAAACCCTTTTATGACCGATTAGAATTCGAATATGACAGGTCAGAATGAAATATAATCGATCAGACTTTAAAAATGAGCCATCAGATTTATTTTAATCGATTAAAACACGTTTTAATCGATTAAAACCACTTAGGAAGTCGGGATGATCGATCAGAATGAAATTATGACCGATCAGAGTTGGTTATGATCGATCAAAATTGAATTATGACCGATCAGGCTTATTTCAATCGATTAAAACGAACTTTCGATCGATTAAAAAGACTTGAAAAGTTATGTACATATTTTCAATCGATTAAAACGACTTTATATCAGCTAAAATAACTTAGGAAAGTTTTATAAGAAGGTTTTTAAGCAAATAAATCGATTAAAACGCGAATCAATCGATTGAATCACTCTCAGAAAATGTTTGTAAAAGGTTTTAACTGATATAAACATGGTTGTATGAACTAAAACCATTCTGTTAAAGAAACAAGAACGCATTAATGGGTTGAAAGGACTTTTAACAGATTATAACGGCTATTTCAACAGATTAAAACAAACTTTCAACAGATTAATTAATGCAGCAGATTTGAAATCATGTTTATATCCAGACCAGTATCTATATCGTCATTGTCTAAACCAATGACCTCGATGTTTTTGTCTCGCTATCTCGCATAAATATATATATATATATATATATAATTAATTAATTAATTAATGTTTTATACCTCAAATGTGAATGGTCACACACACTCTTATGCATGCGGACGTACTCCAAAAACAAACGTACCAACCAAGTTTTATGTTCCAACCACGACGGAGAAGACACGGAACCATACCCGGGGTGTTCCTCCGACAATATACCAAAAACAAACGTACCAACCAAGGTCACACCGAAGTTAATGGCCGCCGGCGAAGATCCAACCTACAACGAGTAGCTTTGCTTTGCTTTGCTAGAGTCTTTTAGCTAGTCTAATGAGACTAGCTTTGCTTTATATAATACAATAACTTTCCCTATCTAACTGTAACAAGAGAAGAAAGAATAAGTCCCGTAACTTCTATCAACCGTGAACACGTGAAGTTGGTCGTACAACCCGTGACCACTGCATGTACAGACTCGTGACCACTCGCATGTACGACCCGTGACTTCGGTCATGACTTACCTCCTTCGTCGTGTTTAGAATATATAATTTGTCAAATGATCAAGATTTTAGATAACTGTTCCAGTAATAACCGCTATTACAAATATATATAAGATAGCGGTTATATGTTAACCGCTATCTAAAGTTCTCAAATGATCGATTATTTTGCCAAAATGATCGATCACTTTTCCAAAACCTGGACACTTAACATAGCGGTTCACCTCGAACCGCTATCATATGTTAACATATGATAGCGGTTCCACAATAACCGCTATCTAAAGGTCTGAGAATTTGAATTTATTTTAATGTATAATTATATATATATATATATATATATATACATATTCTAAAATATAATTTATATTAATTATCGTAATATAAAATATATATTCCACAATATAACTAAAATTTATATATATATTATAGAAATGAAAATAAATTATATTTGAGAATATATAATTTTGATAGAAAATTATATAGATATATATATATTCTAAAATATAATTTAACATTTTGAATTCTGAAAGGTTTTCTCTAATAACATATTAAAAAACATAATATTGAAAAAAATATTTTAAGATTCAGGTCTCGGGTTGTATTTCGCTGAGCGATTATACCCTCGTTCGAGCGAAATACCATCCTGATCGATCATAATTTCAAATGATCGATCATAATTGGAAGATATCATAGCGGTTCCT